ACACTGTGACTATGAACTGACAATTCACAATAGAGGAAAGTGAACAATTCACAATAGAGGAAAGATAACATTAGATAACAAATATTCAAAACAGCTGAATATGAAAGAGTTGATGAAATTTAAGTTTTAACAAAATTTTTTAATTTCTCATTGACGAATCCAATTCTGTAGGGAGGATATGAACTCTGGAGTTCAAAATATCTGTGTACACTTCTGTAGCCCCATCATAGTAGTTCTTTAAACATCTAGACTCTCTGGTATAACAAAGTTCCTATTTCTATTATGGATACCCGTTGTTCTTTTATGATCCTTTGATGCTCTGCTTTTCAGTGGTGTCCTTAAAAGGTCTTTCTCTTAGATTACAGTGCAAACTTCACAGCTTCTGCTACTAATTAACCTTTCTTCCCCTGAACTGGTGCATGTTTGTCTTTCTTTGTTCTATTTGTGCTGTCTGTTAAATTTAGGAGAGGAACAAAGATTCTCTCGGCAAAAGGGCACCAAATATTTTTACTGCTAACCCCTTGATTCATGGATTCTCAATGGTCACCTTGAGGCCATAATTATGTTCATATGTCACCATAGACTAATCTCAAGAGCCTGCCCTCTTTCAATTCCTTATCCCCATGCAGAATCCTAAATACCATTTCCAGTCTTGTTGCCATTTAAACTTTCAAATAAACAATGTCAAGAGACACTTCTCAGGGGAGAAGTGGGGGAAAAATGGTAGTTGAAAACTAGCTTCTGTTTTGTATATATTAAGATAATCAGTAACAAAACTGGAGATTTTCCTGTCCCTCTATAACACATTTCTGAAAAGAAAGAAAGGTGAAATGTAGAACTTTCAGAAAACCAGAAGCAAGTCTTCTCTATGTAAACATTATAAAGTACAGTTACTATTTTTTAATCAGAGCACCTTCAGTGTGGTGCTTGATCATTCAGTACATGCCAAGTAAAGCTTAACCATCTACAGAAAAATATCAGTTACCCTTTGTCTAAATACTACTGCTATAGTCTCATTAATATTTAATTTTCAATTTTTATTTGTTTATTTTTTTGAGACAGAGTTTCACTCTGTCACCCAGGCTGGAGTGCAGTGGTACAGTCTCTGCTCACTGCAACTTCCACCTCCTGGGTTTTAGAGATTCTCCTACCTCTGCCTCCTGAGTAGCTGGGATTACAGGTGCGTGCCACGACTCTGGGCTAATTTTTGTATTTTTAGTAGAGACAGGGGTCTCACCATGTTGGCCAATAACCTGACCTCAAATTATTCACCTGCCTTGGCCTCCCAAAGTGTTAGAATTAGAGGTGCAAGCCATGGCTTCAGGTCCTCGTTAATGTGTCTTAAATAAGAAATCACAATATTTAAATACAGGCAGTTTCTAAATTTATTTATTTATTTATTTATTTATTTATTTATTTTCTTTCTTTATTTGAGATGGAGTCTCGCTCTATCACCCAGGATGGAGTGCAGTACCCCAATCTTGGCTCACTGCAACCTCCGCCTCCTGGGTTCAAGTGATTCTCCTGCCTCTGCCTCCCAAATAGCTGGGATTACAGGCACGTGCCACCATGCCCGCTAATTTTTAAATTTTTAGTAGAGATGGGATTTCACCATGTTGGCCAGGCTGGTCTCAAACTCTTGACTCCAGATGATCCTCCCAGCACTCCCAAAGTGCAGGGATTCCAGGCATAAGCCACCTTGCTTTAAATGTTAATTCTGTCGGTGAAGTGTTACAGGTTGAGTTTTCTTCTAAAAATAATTTGGGTAAAAGATAAGGGATCAACTGTATACTGATTTCATGTGAATTTAGGTCAATTTAACTATGTCCCAGGAACTACATGTGTAGCACTTGCTGGGACTAATGATCAATTTGACTTAACCAGGCAAATTCAACGTTAGCAACAGGTGAGACAACTGTATTAGAAGCAGTTTCTATGTCAAATAAATCCTGGAAGTCATCGAAGTTATTTTAATACAACAATAAAGAGTAGAACAACTGATGAAAGAATTAGGCTCTACAAGACTTAGGATGGAAAATTGTTCACCATTCATTAAGAGAAAGGATGTGACTGCAGGTCTCAGCAGCCCTGAAGTTAGCCGTCAGCATGGATTTTTGTCGGTCTCTGATATAAGATCATTCTCTGATATAAGATCTTGAAGGCAGAATGAATCATTCTCTGATATAAGATCTTGAAGGCAGAATCCAAGTTCTTTGGAGGCAAAGCAATGTGGCCTTCTACCTACAGAGTTCATATAAGTGTTTTGATTAACATGGAATAATCTGTCACCACAAGCCGAGTTACTAAAAGATAATTAGGGAAATTTCAGCTCACATTATAGGAGAGACTATCTTTGTGTTAATTAATGGTTTTGACCTGAGTCAACTTGGGAGGTGTTTTAATCAGAGACGTCGAGGCTGGAATTTTTAAAATAACATAAAAAAAATTCAACATAATAAGCTATCATTTTTTTCTAAAATAAGATTCATGGCAGCTCACCAAAAATATACTTTTTAGAGAAGTTTTGTTGTTATTTTCCTATATGTCAGGCAGGTCTCTCTGCTGAGAGGTTGACCCCACTTCACCCCTCTTCTTGCCACCTCTGAATTTCTGAATTATAATCCTAGACCTGGCTTTGATTCTAATATGGCTCTAATAGTTAGAAAGTCAGGATAGAGATGACCATAAAGTTGAATAATTCAAGAAAATAGAAGAATTAGAGATTGGTGTCTAGAGTCTTAGAAGTTGCCTCAGTTAGAGAGAGCACCATACAAGAGGACTGAGGAGTTGATTTTAGGTGTTTCAGGCAACATGATCAAGTAATAAATCAAACAATTATCATCTTATCAGATATAACTATTCTCTTTTAAGTCTAAGAATGAGGAGCATCTTCTTGGTATAGCTTAACGTCTGCCATGGCAAAATGTGCATACTTACAAGAGAAATGCATCTCTCTGTGTAGACACAGGAATACATATGTTTACAAACACAATAAACAATAAGAAATTCTTTAAAATAAACAAAAATAGTAAAAAAAATACAATTTTCTTTCAGTACTCATGAATTGTGTGTTTTCACATCAATTATTTTTAATAGGATCATATATTTTATAGGATGTATAAAGGCTAAATATGAGATATAGCTAATTTAAAAAGTCTAGGTTTTAACATCATTAAATTAAGAAATCAAGAACAAAACCTCAAGTTTATGACATAAAGTCAAGTTTTTGGCCCCGTGCTGTCGATAAAATGTTTATTTTCTTAGAATTTTGGCTGTATGCCACATTTTACTAAATTGTTTACCCTATATCGCACTTAGGCTGTAGTTCACCTAGATGCAACTACTTACACATTTTCCCATCCTTAATACATTTCTTAAGTCTCCACTAAGAACAGTTATCTTCCATAGAGGGTAAATTAGTTCTATTATATTAAGAGTTTGATATTTTCTTTTATAAATTATGCTTTTATTTATTACACATTTTTGACAACTTAGAATGACTATCAATAATTTAATTCTTATGGAATTTGATGTGTGTTGTCTTCTCAGGGTTGACTATTACTTTTGTCATGATATATTTTATTTTTAATACAAAGGTGAATTATATTTATAAATATTTTATTTAGAAGTTTATTTCACTAGAATTTTAAAATTTGGTTGTATTTGGTTATATAGCCAATAATGAAATTTCAGTTCACATTGTAGGAGAGAAAAAAAAGTTTCACTACTTTTCTTGTGTTCTTAAATAGTGTAAATAATGGACTACTTTCTGAAGGCATTTTGGAACTCAGAGTAAAATAATCTCAATGTATTCTAATTTAGAACAAAATATATTTACTATTTTTATAATTTCCAATTATTTATTCCTTAAAAATTTTTATTTCTTATTCAGCCAACTTTGTTAAATAAAATTTTCTTTGTAAATTACCTGTTTTACATAGATTTTTAGATGTAATGGTCCAATGTTGTATACAGCATTCTACATATGCAAATTATTATTTTTATTTCATGAAATGATAAAAAGACATTAAACTGTATAGATCTTTCATCATATGTCTGGGTACATACTCACCATCCCATATCAGAAATGATTAATATTTTTATTGCATGCTTCAAATCTTATGTTTGATACCAAGTCCCACTTTTTTCAAAAGCAATTATTGTTTAACTTGTTATGTAACTGTGTGTGTATTAAAAGATGTCTCTTGGAGAGTCAAGGCTTTCACAATCACAGTAGCAAGAAGGCTTCCCATTTCCAGCTATCTTGGTGAAAGTAGGGCCCATGTGAGGTACAGAAACAAGGCATTACGCCTCCTACTAGAGAGGGAGATATTAGAAGAAATCTAACAGATAGTCAGAACTCCTACTGTCTTACAGTAATTACTACCTTTTCTCCTTGAGTAACAAATTAAATAATATAAAAATTTAAATTAAATAATGTAAAAGTATAAATATATGTATATACACACACAAATACATATATGTGTGCTTGTGTTTTTATGTGTGTGTGTGTGTATATATATATATATTATATATATATATACCTTTGTCTTTGCATAGATACATTTTTCCCTATTCCTTTGGCTAAGTACAATTAAAAACTGAGACATATATAAAACATATTCTGAAAGGTGGAGAGAGAATCAGGCAGCTTAGGGACCTCAGTACCTGAGAAGTGACGTAGTGATGAGTTTCCTGGGTTTTCTTTTTGATTCATATATTCCAAACTATGAGCTGGCTGAGATAGTGACCTGGTAATGCTGACAGAAACATACTTTTTAAAAGCCCTAACAGATGCCTGGTGTTCCTAAAAGACCAGGAAGATGGCAATCTAGCAAGATAGAAACTTTTATACAATAAACACTTTGTTGAAGAAAAACACTTTAGGAAAGATTATGGCACCACCCTCATCCAGCCAGCAAATGCTGAATTCAGAGCCTAGATTTTCACTGCCTCTATGTTGTAGTGAAGTTTGTAAACCTCCCTCCTCTACTCTACAGGGCTGGTGTCAGAGGAGGCTGAGTTGGGTACCAAGACATTCATTCTCTCCAGGTTGTTACAAGGACCCTCACATGGTATTAACGAAGACCAAATGGTAAGCCTGCATTTTTACTTTTACCTTGTGGTAATGAGGTGTTACTCTTTTTTCACTCACTGGGATGGTATTAAAAGATGTCTCTTGGAGAGTTAAGGCTTTCACAATCACACTAGCAATAAGGTTTCCCACTCCCAGCTTTCTTGGTGAAAGTAGGGGCCATTTGAGGTACAGAAACAAGGCACCACTCCTCCTACTAGATAGGGTGATATTAGAAGAAATCTAACAGGAAGTCAGAACTCCTACTATCTTATAATAATTACTACCTTTCGTCCTTGAGTGTGGATGTCGGCCAGTGGCAGAGCCAAATTTCTGTCCCCTTCTGGCAGTAACATGGGAGTGCCCCACTCTTCCCTTGCCAGAGTGATATCAGAGAAAGACACCTAAAACAGATTTAAATAAGATCCAGCATTTCATAATGCCCAAAATGTCTAGGTATTGATGTAAAATTATAAATCACAATGAGAACAAAAAAGATCTCAAACTGAATAAAAAAGATAATCAATAGATATTGACATGAAGATAACAGAGATGTTTGAATTATCTGGCAGAGATGTTAAAGCAGCCATAATAAAAATATTTAAATAAGCCACAATATATATGCTTGAAATATAAAAATAGGAAGTTATGGCAAGGAAATAGAAAGTCTCAGCAAATAAAGATATAAAGAAGTTCTAAGTAAAAATTATAAAACTAAAAAATGATTGAAATAAGTAACTTAATGGATAGTTTCAACAGCATAATGGATGAAACAAAGGAGACAGACGAGGACCTTGAAGATACAATAACACAAATTACTTAATGAGAATAAAATAGACTGAAAAAAAAAAAGTAGACAGAACTGGGCAGGAACAGTGGGGTTACAATGGAAAAAAAAATAAAAACCCTAACATTCATGTTATTAGAGTCCTGGAAGGAAACAAAAAAAGGTGAGGCTGTAATATTATTTAAAAAAAGAAAGGCTAAAAATGTCTCCAAAGCAAAAGACAGAATACATTAGTCTAAAGAAGCTAAGTGTGATAGTGTCAGCTGTCAACCTGACTGGATAAAAAAATACATAGACAGCTGGAAAAATCTTCTTTCTGGGTAGATCTGGGAGGGAATTTCCATAGGAGATTGGCATGTGAGTTGGTGGACTGGCTAGGAAAGATCTGCCCTCAATGTGGATGGACAATATCCAATTATTTGGGAGTCCTTATAGAACAGAGAAGCCAAGGAAAGGCAAATTCTTTCTCTTTCTATCCTGTAGCTGGAATATCCTTCTGCTAACCTGGGACATCCAGGCTGTACAGCTTCTGAATTCTGAAACTTACACCTGTAGCCCCTTGGGTTCTTGGGTCTTTGGCTTTGAGAGTTACACAGTTAGTTTCCTTTGTTCTGAGGCTTTCAAACTTGGGCTAAGCCATGATACCAGCATTTCAGAGACTCCGCTTGCAGATGACTTTTCACAGGACTCCTTGACCTCCATAATCAATTAAGCCAATTTTCTTAATAATCTCATCTTGTCTGTCTACCTATCTATCTATCTATCATCTATCTTATTGGTTATAATTCTCTACAGAACATTGACTAATATACTGAGCAAACTCCAAACAGGATAAAACCAAAAATATTACACCAAGAGACATTAGATAGTCCAGCTTCTGAAAACTAAAGACAAAGAAAACACATTTAAAGATGTGAATGAGAAATGACACTTCACCTATAAGGCAAAAATAATTCTAATAGGCAACAGATTTTTCATCAGAAACCATAAAGACCAGAAAGAAGAGAACTATCAACCAAGATTCTATACCTAGTGAAAATATCCTTCAGGAATAAAGAGGAAATCAAGATATTCTTCAGTGAAAGAAATTAATTCCATGAAGGAACGTTATAAAGGAGAATATTCAAATCTCCAATAGGTATATGGAACAATATATAATATTGTCTACCGTTGGGAAAACAAATTGATTCCTCCATGATATACCACTTTTTTACCTACTGAATAGGTAAAATTAAATAGATTTACAGTATTATTATTGGCAAGGAGGTAGAGGAACTTCTATTCACTTTCGTTGATTGTATAAATCAGCTAAAAGACTGGAAAACTGCTTGTATTTATAAACCTAACATATGCCTATATCATGACTCAGAAAATTCATTGCTGCTACATAGCTGAAAGATATGAGTGCATAGATTCTCAAAAATCATATTCAAGATATTTACAATAGGTTTATTCATGTTTCAAACTGGAAATATACTTAAACAGTGTAATACTAACAACCAATAAAAAATACTACACACCTATAAAAAAAATGCTACCCACCTATTAAAAAATCAATCCTTCCTTCCTATAAAATAATAAAATCTTAATATGCAGAATAATGCAGATTAATTTTATCAACATTATGTTGAGCAAAAGAAGCAGGACACAAAAGAGGATATATTTTATAAATCCATTTATATTAATTTTAAGAATTGATAGTACTAAATGATGGTTTAAAAAGTCAGAATAATTAGAAAATCGAGGGTGAGAAATGAACAGAACAATGAGAAAAATGAATGAGGGAATCTTCTGGAATTTTGAAAAATATTGTATAAATGATTTTGGGTGGTACGTAAACTATCTTCAAGCTCTGCACTTTTGTGTGTGTGTGTGCACACACAGGTGGAGTACAACTGGCTGAAGTGTGTTTTCTAACATTAAATTATTTGAGGTCCTCTACAAAAAAAATCCAAAAAATTAGCTGTTCATAGTGGTGTTTGCCAATAGTCCCAGTTACTGGGGAGGTGAAATGGGTTGGGTTGAGGCGAGAGAGAAGCCAGGATTGCACCAGTGCACTCCAGCCTGGGTGACAGAGTGAATCTCTGTCTCAATAAATAAATAAATAAATAAATAAATAAATAAATAAATAAAATTAAAAAAATAAAAAAAAACAATGTGAGGTTGGGTTTTTCAAATGTTAAAGTCCATGCAATCTCCATTATGCCATATTGTCCTCCCAAAATAAATAATACATCTATATATAATTCTAAAGTTCAGTAACCCTGAAACGTGGAAGATAATTTATCCTGATTAATAGTACTGATGAAATCACATTAATATAGGGATAATTAAACATAATTCATCAATAATTCTGCATAAAATATCACCTCAAGTGAAGATTTATTTATGTTTAAAATTGGAATTTTCCTATTTATATTAAAGAACAAAAGAGTAGGACTACATTCATAGTGTGTGGGTTCAATAGTAATACTGCTAAACAGTTTGAAAGGTAGTTTTCTTTTTCTACAAAGATTTAAATTATTTGGATATACTGCAAGACTCATTTAAAGGATAAATAGCACATAAAAGAAATAAGACATTAATATAATATGTAATATTAAAATAATATGTAATTGGATATAATATTCCCTATGGATCCCTCCAAATTAAGATATTTTCACTAAATCTCTTCCAACATATTGCTTATCTGACTTACCTAATTCTCTCTCAGGTTTTCAGTTATCTCCTATGTGCTAAAAATTACCAGTCTTGTAACTTTAGGCCAGACCTCCCTCCACCTCTCCCATCTCCTTTACTATCTAAACATTTAATGGATACTTCCACAACAAAATGCCCTACAATGAGCTCATCATCCCCTCCTCTCAATTTATTTATGTATTCTCAAAATCACATTGCAGTGCCACAGTTAGCCCATTTATCCAGCTAAGAACATTATGTCATACTTCATCACTTCCAGTCACTTTATATCTTAATTATACGCATATAGTATCCTATGCACAACATGCGGTTGTTTTTTGTCTTTCCTATCATTCCTATATTTAACCAGTTTTAGAAATAGCTCAAGTGACTCTAATTAATATTCTATCTTTCATTCTGTGCATATTTCTATTTCTAATTATCTAATTATATTATAATCTGGTATAAAATTTTGTTCTATTGGAAGGTAACTGCATCTAGTCCCTTGCCATTAAGACCATCCCATACATGCAGCCTTTCATTTGAAGGTGATGGTATAAACAGACATTTACTTCTATGTTATTATACACCAATGTTAATGAACCCCTTTCAGAAAACAGACTGAATGTCTGAATTAAAAGAGAATAACGTATATCTACAAAAGTTAAGATTTATATTTGTTTAGTTTTTGCTAGATTGCTTTTCTTTTTCCTATAAAAGGAATTGAGGGAAATTCTTTTCTTATTCCAAATGAGATCTGACATTTATGGCTGGAGGTCACACTAGATCCAAAATTTCTGCTCTTGAGGAAATCATAAGGTTGTCAAAACACTTTCTCACACTATTGGTAGATTTAAAGGCTAAAATTCACAGGTACTTGGTTTTAGTAGTGGAAAATCTGTCTGTCTGCCTCATTCTGTAAGCGAGCCATGCTTCGTTCTCTTGGCTACAAACCAGTCGAATACATGAAGGTGGGAGCAATAGTTTGTTATAGTTGTACCCTCCTTGGCAGTGTATTTGGGAGAGAAAAAGGAAATGGTGTCTCGCAATTTTTTAAATAATTTCAGTCCAAGTACTTAAAGCATTATCTAATCAATAGAGTGGCAGAACTCCAGTTTGACTGACATGATCTCACAGACAGCTGTTTTATTTTTAAATTTTTAAATGAATGAATATATGCATGAGAAAAGCAAATATAAAATGTTTATCTTTTGAATATATTTAGCTCTTTTAATTTTCATTTTGGAAGAGAACAATCAACACTTGACTATTTAACCCAAACCACGTCTTCCCAAAGTGTGATTTGCAGAACCCTGATTTAAGCAGCTGTTTGATAGGAATTAAGTGGTAGAAAGACTTCAACAATCAAACACATTTGGAATCACATAGCTAAGCAAGGTTAAATAAGTTTCTTCTCTTCATGAGTTAGAGCATTAGATGTGCAAACACACCTTAGAATCTGTTGGCATATGCAGATTTTCCGCAGTTTTTGAATATGGCACTTTTTAATGGATTGTCTCAAGATAAAAATATTTTATGGAATTCATGTCACATA